TATATATATATATATATATATATATATATATATATATATATATATATATATATATATATATATAGAAACTTCTTCACTTTCTGTAAATTAAAGCTAGACTATTTTAAAGATATTTAAAGAGGTTAACTTCCATATATTCTCCCAAACATAGTTTCATCAAACAAAATCCTTTCTTAATAGCAGTTTACTGATTTGGCCTATCACTTGTTTTAATCAAAGTTTTTTACTTGGAAGACAAAGCAATCTAACCGAATCAATCCACAAATACCCAGATCACTTGCAAGGATGACGCACAAAATCCACAAAACAAAAGTTCGGTTGAAAGTAATTAGAAGCTTTTTGTCCACAAAAGGCAGAAACAAGCAGTTATAAGCTTTGGCTACACATGTAATTATGAGCAAGTATATATACTCATTGTTTAGGAAGAAATGAAGGGACAAATATCTCCTACCCCATGATGTCCATTAATCACATGAATACACATCTCATATGATATCTATTAATCACATGAATACACATCATGGGAGAGATAATATGAACTTGAATAAAATAAACCTAAAATAAATAAAATATGATGTGTCATGGACGATTTTTGGACAACAGATTAATGAACAAAAAAATGATGCGTCATAGATGATTTTGGGACAAAGAGATTTTTATTTGAAATATAGTCATACAAGTACCTTCTACCAGAGAGAACCCCGCCAGTTGGGGAATAACCATTGAACTTAGCAGACTGGACGGCTTCAGCAATGGCATCTGCAGCAAACTGGCTTTTACTGAAGCAGGAGAAAGCAGAAGGTTCGCCATGGGCCATAGGGATGATGGGTCTGCTGTCAGAGATATTGAGACTTGACATGAGCAAAGTGAGAACCCGATCAATGTCTGTATCCGATTCTGTCTTCTGCTCTGAGTTCCTCATGAATCCCCATTTCTTCAACAACGTTGAACTGTTCTCCATAGCTCCCCACTGTTCTATAATTGAGGCGGTTGGGTTGAAGATGACTATATGGGACTTGTAGCAGGCAAGAAGCATGCTCACTAAATTCTGAATTTTTAAATCTCTACCATTTAAAATCATGATAATCATTGGTTGCTGGTCGGTGTATTCCGTCCAATATTTGTGTGTATTATATTTTAAAGTTATGCTATTTCTCCTTGCTGTTTTTGATTCTTTATTCTTGATTCGACTTCCTTTATTATAAAAAAGAACCCTTCTAGTGTGGGTTTTGTTTTTATTTTAACCCTTTTCTCTAACTCCGTCAATCTTTTTCATCGACTCTCGATCGAGTGCCCCTAGAGACATTTTCATCACTTTACAAGTAAATTCCAACCATTCTTTTTTCAAGTCCTCTTCCTTGTCACGTTCTATCATCTTCAATTTCTTCATATTCATGTTCATATCTATCATGTATTATCAGCCACCACCACCATCCATATGCCAGCTAACAACCATTTTCCATCATTAATATCACCATTTGCGGCCATAAACCAAAATCAACAAGATTTCCCTTTAACATAAAAGATCAGGTATTTCTAAAGATAAACTACGATCTAATTAAACATTGTTTCACCTAAGGAAGGTGTCGATATGTTTTCTTGTAAAGCATCAATTACAGAGTCTAAAGAAACTACATGTATATATACAAATCTATTTATGAGAGAAATACCAATAATGTATAAATACTTAGAGCAACAATGGCAGGAAGATTATTGCAGTGTAGATGAAAAGTTCCTTTGCACTGGAAATAAGTTATTTATTCATCATACTAAAATTTACATCTGATCACATATTTATGCATACACATATGACACTTACATTCGGTTAAGTAACCCTCATTTGATAGCTATAAAAACGTCACTACTTAAGTCAAACACCAAGTCTAGATCACATAATTAATTAACACTCCCCCTTAAGCTAGACTTGAACAACACCTAGCTTAGCCTTCATCGTGTTGAAATCTCCAACTTTCAATGCCTTAGTCAATACATCTGCTACTTGATCACTGGTTTTGTAGAAAACAACTTTAACTTCACCAAGACTTGCTAATTCTCGTATGAAATGATACTTAATTCCTATATGTTTGTTTTTCCCAAGAAATTCCAAATCCTTGGTTAAAGCAATCACTGACTTGTTGTCACAATATATCTTTGTTGGTTTTTCTTGTGGGTGCTTAAGTTCCTCGAGCATCCCTCTCAACCATATAGCTTGACAACCAACAAGATATATGCTCATATATTATGCTTCTACCGAAGATAATGCTACCACCTTTTGTTTTTTTGGTTGCCGGGATATAGCACCAGATCCCATTCTAAAAACATATCCAGAAGTGCTTCATCCACAAATTGCCACCATAATCGTTGTCCCCATAAGCTAACAATCTCAAATCATGCACCTTCTACTAACAGATTCCATGTGTGGCGCCGTTTACATATTGCAATATTCTTTTGCCTGCTTCCCAATGACTTTGTTTAGGAGTTCCATAAACCTTCTAATTAGACTAACTAAATACATGATATGTAAATACATCAGACTTCCCACCAGGCTTCTATGTAAGCTTCCATCCACCATTTTTCTCTTTTGAACCCGTAATTAACTTTAGCCCAAATTCCATTGGTGTAGAAACCAAAACGGCATCTTCCACAGGAAACCTTTTCAACACATTTTGTGCATACATCTTTTGTAAGATAGGGATTTCGTGGTTCCCTTGTCTATCTTCAATTTCCAGGAAATAATGAAAATCCCAAGTCCATCATTTCAAACTCAAGTTTCATGAATTTCTAAGCTTGACCTATTTCCTATGAATATTAAATCATCTACATACAGACAAATATATAGAAGGTCATCTTTGTTGTCCTTGATAAAGAGTGTATGTTCATATGGGCATATTTTTTGAAGTTGCTCTTCATAAAATACCCATCTATACGGCTATACCAAGAACGGGGTGCTTGTTTGAGCCTGTATAGTGCCTTCTTCAAACAACGGACCTTATGCTCTTCATTCTTTCCGTCCATAGCTCGGAGGCTGATCAATGTAAACTTCTTCGCTAAGGACACCATTTAGAAATGCAGATTTCACGTCCATTTGGTGTAAAGTCCACTATTTTAGGCTGCCAAAGCCACAACTAAACGAATTGTTTCCATCCGAATTACAAGAGCAAAAACTTCAGTATAATCAACTCCAAACTTTTGTTTATAATCAAAACTAACTACGCTTTATGTTTTTCAACATCACCATTTTCTTTCACTTTGGTCTTGTAGACATATTCCACTCTAGGCTTGTGACCTTGTGGGAATTCAACTGATGCCCAAATGTCATTCCTATTAATGGATTCTATCTCTTGATCCATTGCTTTCATACATTTACTACTCTTGGTAGCAACATCAAAGTCTATAGGTTTGGCAACAACAAATAATGCAAAATCGGCCAACTCATCATTATGATCTCTCATAAACATCATTAAGATTCCTTACTTAATAGTGGTGATTCAGGTGAGTCGCCTGAAGAAGATGAATATGGTGATGAGGGCATCGCAGATTATAGATTAGGAGAAGATACCTGATTGTCGTGATTTGCATCATCAAACTGCTGTTGTGTGATTTTCTCCCCAGTAACAGTAACATGTACTGCTTCTTTCTTTAGAAACGAATCCCATGCACTGTCTTCATCAAATATTACATCCCCACTAATAATCACTTTGCTAGTTGTTGGATTATATAGTTTATATGCCTTAAAGGCCTCATTATATCCAATAAACACACATTTTTCTGATTTACATCAAGTTTAGCCAAACACTCTCAAATGTGAAACAACAGGTTTGTTTCCACTCCAAAATTTCGTGAGGGGTCACGTCCTTAACACTTCTTGTTGATGCACGGTTTAGAAGGTAGATTGCACATGAGATAGTTTTCGCCCAAAACTTGTCAGGAAACCCTTTGTTCTTCAACATGCTCCTAACCGATTACATAATTGTCCTGTTTTTCCTTTCCGTAACCCTGTTTTAATATGGTGTGTACCTTGTAGTTCGTTGATGTCTTATGCCATTATCCTTCAAAAAGATTCGAAATACAGAGAGTTGTACTCCCACAATCTGATCTTAAAATCTTTATTTCATGATCATTTTGCTTCTCCACAAACACCGTAAAAGACTTGAAATTCACGAACACTTGAGCCTTCCTACTAAGATCATCAATAAAGACTAGTATATAGCAACTACCCCTATTGATTTTGTTATTATAGGCCCGTACACATCTGTATGTACGAGTACACGGGCTTTGATGCCATCCAAGATTTTTCCCCTGGAAAAGAATCACGTGAGTGTTTTTCCAGTGCACATCCTTCACAAAACTGATCAGTCTTATTTGTGTTTGGCATCCCTTGTACCATATGGTTCTTACACATGTAAGACAACGACCCAAAATTTAAATGTCCATACCTTTGATGTCATAAAGAAGAGTTATCATCTATAATTGTATTAAAGGAAGACAAAGTGTCCTTATTAAACCTTAAAGGAAACATCCTATTGGTAGTCATGTGTACCTTTCCAAGGGTGTTACCATCCAAATCCTTGATCACACAAGTGTTGTCTATGAAATCCAACTCATACTTCTTCAACAAAAGTTGTCCACTACTCAGAAGATTGTATTTTAATGTTGGTAAAAAAATAATCGTCAGATATCCTCTTAATACCCTTATTTGTTTTCATGAGAATATCCCCACTCCCTTGCACTAAATGTCGTCTCTCATCTCCCGTTATAATTTCACTGTAGAGAGTATCATCCATGGTTGTGAACAAGTGCTTGTTTCATGTCATATGATTACTACAAGCACTATCTAAATACTATAGTTCATTAGGCATGACTTCTTGTGCAACACACATCATAAACATGGTGTCATCCTTCTTAGTTTTCTTCCCATGCATTAAAGTTGTCTCTTTACTTTCTTCTGCTCTCTTGTTCTTGTTGTACTTAATTGTGTGCCCGTATCTTTGAAAGTGGTAACAATGTACTTACGATAAAGGTCTTCCTCATCCTCTTCCTTTATAAGTACCTTCTACATGATCATCCTATCCATGATCTCGACTAGAACCTCTTCCACGTGCTATACCTTGTACCTTTCCTTTATCCGAGTTCTTTCCTTTTCCTTTTCCTTTGTTGGTGTAATTTGCCTTTGTTGAGGCCTGCGTTTGAAAGGAATGTTCCATTGGGGTAGTATCAAATTGTTTCATTCTATGTTCATGGAACTGAAGTGTTCCCAACAAACTTTCTACTGGAAGTGATCATATGTCTTTTGATTCTTCTATTGCAACTAAATATACTCGAATTTTCGAGTTAAATTCTAAGTATTTTCTCCATAACTATCTTGTATTCGATGTCCTCCATATTTAATATCACCTGATTCACTAAAGCAATCACCCGGTTGTATAATTTCTCAACAGATTCAAGGTCCTTCATTCTAAGATTATCAAACTCACAATGTCGAGTTTGTAATCGTATAACTTTTACTCTATCTTCTCCCGCTATGTTTTATGCAACATTTCTTATGCTTCCTTTGACGTAGTTGATGCCGAGATCCTCTCAAATATGGCTTCTTCTACTGCTTGATAGATGAAGACAAAGCTTTCTTGTCCTTCTTTTTATTTTCTTTAATTTTGTTACCTGTTGTAGTGCAGTCTGATTGCAAGCTTCATTGACACCATTCTCTATCATATTCCACAAATCTTGAGATTCATACAAAACTTTCATCTGTATACTTGATGATAATTCTTTCCATTTAACTTTGGAATTTGGGGTTGTAAAATGTCGTTATTATGCGACGCCATGTAGTATACTCTTGTCTTCGTTTTCTACAATTGATTTGCAACAGTGAACAAGTCTCTGATGCCACTTTGTAGTAAAAAGACTTAGAGCAACAATTTCAGGAAGATTGTTGTAATATAGAAGAAAGGTTATCAAATGTTA